TACCCCCCCCCCCCGGGGCTCAGGCAGGAGAAGGGCAAAGACCCTCCCCTTTCCTTCCCCTGTTATCTGAGGTCTAATGGTTACAGCAGGCGAGTGGGAATCTGAGCCCGAATGCGCAGTCACAGACCTTCCCTGCCACCGGGGGTGAGGACTCAGTGGAGTGGCAGCAGGAGGGAGCTGTCCTTCAGCCCTGACTGCAGGGCAGGGTTAGGAAGGCTTTGCAGGGCTCCAAAGCCCTTCACAAGGGCTCAGGCATCGTCAGCTGCACTTTACCGATGAGGAACCTCAGGGACGTGGTGGCGACACCGTGTGCAGTGACTAAAGCGGGACGAGATCCCTGGTCTCCTGAGTCTCAAGCTGCCCCTCTGACCACTAGACCACACTGCCTCCCAACAGTAGTGCGTGGTCAGTGTAACTCTTTCCTCACCGGAGTGCTGATGGGAGGGTTACCCTCCGGATGACTGTAAGGCGCTCTGTGCTGGAAATGTTTCTTGGCCCGCCCCCTTCTGGCTGGAGAGGGCAGGGTACCAGCATTCAGAGCCCATCCGTGATGGAGGAGTCACATAGGAGTGGCAAGAGCCAAACCTCTCCACTCGATGTCTGGGCACCCTGGCCCGGGAAATGCTCTTCGTGGCCCAGAATGCCCTGCGGGAGCAAGACAGTCCGGACACATTCTCACAGTGGCTAAGTCGACACTGGCACTTTACAGTGTTGTAACTTTCCGGCTCAGGGGTGTGAAAAAACACCTCCCCCATACGCCCCTGAGTGCTACAAGTTACAGCACTGGAAAGTGCCGGTGTGAAGCAGGCTACAGGGCTGGGAGCCGTGACCCCATCGCTGTTAGCTGCTCCCCTTCTGGAGGTGGGATCCTTTCCCCAAGCCCTTTCCCGAGCGTTGTTGTGATGTTCAGTTAAGCGAGAGATGCACTGCTGATGCGCTGCCGCCTCCATGCACAAGGAAAAGCCCGTCGTTAACATCTTGGCTGGTCCCGTTGCAAAGGAGAGATGCACTGCTGATGCGCTGCCTCCTCCATGCACAAGCAAAAGCCCGTCATTAACATCTTGGCTGGTCCCGTTGCAAAGTTCTGCTCCACAGCCAAACTTCCTCTTAGTTTAGGAGTGTTTTGATGCAGGGTTCAGGTTAAAGAGCCATACTAATGATCTAGACCCTCATTTTGCTTCCTCCAGCACAAAGATCTCCCTGTGCAGGTGAGACGTAGGAGGCTGGAGCCAACCCTGAGGCTCTTGGAGACCTTTAGCATTTGCTATCCAATGTAGGAAGGTCACAGGGTCTCTCAGCCTGCCCTGGGTATAATCTTTGCTCGACGTCGTCAACGTTCATGCGATTTCAAAACAACCCTCCGCCGTATCCCCCTGGGAAAAAATACTTTCTGGAAAAAAAAAAGGTGTCGTGTATTTGTGTCACGTGGACCTTGTTCCCGAGCTATTTTTACACTGATTTTGAGTCATTGGCATTGTCTAAAAATAAATGATCTCCATGGCAACAGCTGCACTCGGCGAGGTAGTGCATCTCCTTAAAGAACTTCAACAAAAGAACGTGAGGCGCGCTGGGTGTTTAAAATATAGCTCTAGACAATACCTGTGAGGGGCATTCCCCCCCCCTTAAATGCAGAGAACCAGTTACCTGATTTTTTTATCCTCTCTTTGAAAGCTGCCACCTGTTTCCTCTACTGAAGGCAGAACACTTTGCCTGGTGTCCTGTCTCCTGCTGGTGACTAGAGACGAGTTTAGGGGTGACCCAAACAGCATCTCCCCAGGCTGCATTGACAACCAGGCCTCTCAGTCTGTGCCATACTCTGCCTTGCTCCCTGTTGTCCCACTGTGGGCCGCACCATGAGCAGGGCTGGCAGGGTCTGGCGGGTCAGGTGCATATGCCCATCCGTTGCCTCACGTTTGAAAATAAAATGGTCCTGGCCAGAGATGTGGAGACCTTGGCTCACGGGTAGAAGCTTCTTGGCTGAGTTCACCTACAGTCCGTTCCGGGGGCTGATTTTGTACGGAAGTTGGTCTTGTCGGTCAGGCTGTGGGCTGGGACGCTGGCTCTGCCACCGGCTCCCTGTATAGCCATGGGAAAATCACCTAAGCGCTCTGGCCAAGATTTTGTGGGGTGTTCAGGACACCATAAAGGGCCCCCAGGCTGACCGCCAAGGAGGGGCAAAGGAGGCAGTCTCCTTGGAGCCTGAGTTCAGAGCTCCTGGCTGCTGTCCCTGCAGGATTCCTGCCCACTGTGCTATGGGCCAGGCCGGAAGAGGGTTTCATGAAGGACATCCCAACCGCTGTGTGTTTGAAGAAGGGAGCGGGGCTGCTTGCAGGAACGTGGGGTGTTTGGTTCCTCCCCCTACTCACCAGCACTTCTCTGCTCTTTCCGTTTCAGTGCAGCGGCAGCTGCGGGCAAGGGAGGATGATCCGGCACGTGTACTGTAAAACCAGCGACGGCCGGGTGGTGCCAGAAGCCCAGTGCAACCTGGAGACCAAGCCGCTTGCGATCCACCCTTGTGGGGACAAGAACTGCCCCACCCACTGGCTGGCACAGGACTGGGAGAGGGTAAGGGCCGACCCAACTCAGCCGGTGGGGTCAGCCGGCCCGTCCATACCAGGGAACGAGGCCTCAGGCTCCCCGAGGGGGGTGTTAACGCCCAGAGGGCTTCCTTGCTAGAACTGGTGCGACTCCGTCCCCTGCTCCCCGGTGCTGCCGGCAGTAGGTGGGGCAGGGCCTGAGTGGGACCCTGGCAGCCTGGGGGCTGC